AGTGGGCAATACCCATACTGTCTTGGTCGGGGTGCTTGTGAATTACTATGCCGGCACAATAGGGGCGATAGTGCACTGGATAAGTTAGGATAGCCCTTCGTTTGGGCGTATCGTCCACGGTCCCTCAATGTCCCGGATCGCAGCCGCATCGCTACGGCATCTTCCAAAGTCCCGATGCCTCCTCCATCCCTACCTTTTGCTGCAAAAGAGAAAAAGGGCCGAATGAATGATAGAGGCCCTTCTCTCCTTCCCAGTAGGTGCAGAGTATCCGCACTACTGCACGAAATAATGTGCCTAGCAGAATGCCTCGCAGGCCTTTCATGCATAATATGTCGTATACGGTGGGAAGAGGGAAAAAAAACTGGTAACTCACCCCGCAGTTCTCAAGGGTATGAGGTTAGGCGATGCCCTCGCTTTGCCCGAGCACGGTAAAGTACGGTACGGTAGTTCAACTTAGACGAACTAAGCGAGCTGCCTCTGGATTAAAGGAGCTCTGAGCGCGGATATCGCTGTGCGCCGGTTGGTTGTTCGCATACTACGTTCCGGCAATGGACCTTGCTGTCCCGTGCTATTCATAGTCCAGCTGCAGCGACTTGGTTGGTATTGCTTACATTACCATAGCGGTGCGCCTGCATATGTTTTTAACACGCAAGACGGGGATCCTGGTGGGGATCGCCTTTGCCGCCGTGGAGGAGAAGACCGGGGGGAGGGATAGCGAAGATTTGAATTATCCCCTGGCAAACAGGGTGAGGATGAGGAGGAGAATAGCTATTCACATGGCACCATATTCCGACCTTTTCACTTTTTGAGGGCAAAACTCGTGTGACACGACCCGGGAGAGAAGTGCGACAAAAATCTACCGCCCCCTCCAAACAAACTCCCAGGTCAAGAGCAAAAAGGGACACCACGAGTGACCTCGTATGACAGCCGCGTTAAAGCGTTTATGCTAGGCCTGCACTGCCAGCACAAGGCTTTGTTCGTCAGGTAGCGTCATCCCTAACTTTAATCCCATAACATCCTGTCCCTATAATCTTGGACCAATTTCCGCCCGACTTGGACCCGTGTTTCTGCGGTTTTTCGTCCCCTCTTCGCTATTCCTTGGTTGGTGGATCGTTGTGCGACGCCGGCACCAGAGTTACCGTCCAAATCTAGCGGAGTGAGGGGAGAGCGAGGGGGGGAGGGTAACACATCGAGGCTGTGCCTCCTATTCGCCCTGCGTTGCTGTGCGGCGCCGGCACTGCACTCGAGTGCAGCGCAATCCTTTGTGGGAGGTGAGATAACCCTACGACCTGCACCATGTTCGTTAACGGGGGGCGTCTGGAAAATGCGAGCGTACGGGCACCGGTACCTGGTACTGAACTCGTTGGTATACGAGTGCAGTTCCGTGTGCTTGCACCATAGCCTTCCGAAAAGGAAGGAGGAAGGAATTATTGATTGGTGGTGGTGGCGAGCCTGAGACGTTGACTGGGCTGGGTGGGTGTTGTGGGAATCGCTCCCCCTGCGGCTATATTACTTGTGCCTGGCCCACTTGGGGTCGAACTCCTTCTGTAGGTGTGTATCGCCGCCGATAGAATTTTGTGGGCACGAAATCTTTTACCTTCACCCGTCAATCGATTAACCGACCCATCGATATAAGGTCGTTCATCCCCGCCAGCCTGGCTGTCTAGTCTCCCATCGCCACCATCCGGCCGGATCAGCCGTCCACCATCCTAACCACCTTTTCCCATCGCTTCACAGGCAAGACAGAAGGACAGGTAGAAAGACAAAATGCCCGCCCTCCTGATCCGCTCCATATCATTCCTCAAGCGATCCGCCACCCTGCCAAAGTCCCCTGAGGAGGAGAACCGCCCGAGCACGGCATGTGAAATCGAAGAATTCCTCCGCTGCTTGCCACCGTCCACCCCGGCTCCTCCACCCGCCCCGCACTATCACCATACTTCACGCCATTCACCAAACCCATCTACATCTTCCGCTCTATCCACCTCGGTGGTTGTCCTCCCACCTTCTCCTCCGCCGACGGACGTTCCGCCGCTACCCCCGCCATCCTATAACTCGCTGGAGAGGGGGTACTACAATAGTTCTGCATGTGTTGGTGCGCTACCGCGCGTTCACGAGCACATGCCGATACCGGCGCATACGCAGGATACGCGGGAAGCACGACCCCAGCATCAGAGGAGTTCCTCGGGGGAGAAGAACCGGTTGTTGAACCTGAGGGTTGAGACCGATCTGGATTTCGGAAGGAGGGGGCGGGGGCCGGTTTTGGTTTATGAGGCGGCGCCAGCGGAGGAGCCCCGGAGAATGACGCAGGAGGAGATTTCCCAGTGGAATTATATCTGAATGGATGGGGGTTGAATGGGCGGTGCATGATATCATTGCGCTCATTTGATATACTGACTGAGCGACTGATGAATTGATGGAGAGACGGATGGAGAGGGATCTCGGCTTCCGGATTTCCGCATTGACTTTCTTTTTACCTTCACCTTTACACCCACCCTCGGCGACATCGCTAGGATGACCGCTTGCTCGCCACTTTGACATCTCCACTCTCTTCTTATTTTCTTTGTCCACCTATCCTCCAATCGCCTCTTTTATTCTTTTTCACCTTTTCCTATTCTTTTCTAGGATCGTCCTCATTCTCGGCGCTACTGGTCACTCAATATAACATACATCTGTACTATATTTTGGTCTCCCATCTTGTTTTATTTCCTCTTTTAATTCACTTGCTTTTGCCCTGACCCTATTTCATCACTCAACATTGCGGCGTCATGTGGCGTTATGGGTGCACATTTCGGACTTTCTTCTTTTTTTCTTTTTTTCTTCCTCCTCGGTGTTTTCTTTTCATAAACGGAGTCGATGGTATCGTTCGATTTGGAGTTGGCCGCAAATATAGTATATCTTGTAAGCAAGAATATGACAAACTATTATCACAATCACCGGCCATAACCCCCCTACCCCCCCACCCTCCCCCGGTCCTGTGATAGCCATGAACGCGAAACGCGGGTAAATAGCTCACTTGCAGTCCCTCGCCCAACGGTGGCTGGAGGCTCGCGCAGTATAACTTTTATTTAGCTACCCTGTCACAATGTACTGTGCTAGTACTGGACTGTACTCCCCTCCATCAGTTTCGTAACCTCACCCGCATGACGAGAAGGGGCTCACCAGTCAGCTTCTGGCCCGGAAGTGCACTTTATAGTCAAAAGTGCTCATTCCTCATCCCTCTACTCTTGCCATAGACATTCCGTATCGCATCCGAGCACGGATTCTCCCGTACAAGTACCGTACGGTGCCGGTGCTCATCGTTCTCGGGTCCGGTTGAGGTCGGGAACGGGGTACGCTTGTGGAGTCTTAGCGGCGGGCCGGGCGGCACAAGTACGATACGGCACTGTACCGTACTTTTGCGCTGTAGTGCGATGACTACATATAATACCTTGAGAGGTTTGAGTTACAGTACCATACCATATCTATGTTGGGCGGTGGATAGTACGAGTAATGCATGCCTTGTCCGTTGATTCATTGTTCGGGTCCGCTTTGGGCAGATGCTAAATTTAGTACTGTGATTTACGCAGAATGCGGTGATATGGTAAATTTACCTGAGGTTTGTTGCGTTACCGTGCAGTACTGTGCGAGTAGAGTACGAGTACTGGTACAAGTACTTGTACAATGCTCGGGTACTTGTACTGTACCCCTAGCTGTCTCGATGGACTAACCTAGCCTATTCTGGGACACGTACCAAGATATATTGTATCATAGTCTTGTGATGTCACCACGGCTGTAGATGTCATTCCGGTCCAGTCCACCGAACCCTGCTCTGCTAAGCCGGCTGCAACTTACCGACTGACTGCGTTGGATAACTGACTTGTTCGGGTTGCGTGTGGTACCGGTATATCGCTGGCCTGGGGCCCTGGGCCTATAGCGCCGCACAATGCAACGCCGTGCGATTCTTGAGTGAGAACGCATGATAGGCAGGTTGCTACACATGACTGCCTGTAGTGTACGTACTGCACAGTACCCCACCACATACGACGTTACTCCCGGATGGACCTACCTACCTACCTACCCCTTCAGCAACCCGTGAAAGTGAGATTCACAGATCGAGCCGCCGGCCGGCTGTTCCGGGGTGAAGGGCTCGGGCTCTGAATTTTCTGTCGTTGGGCATCTTGGCCGCAGCGGTTGACTTGTGTTCGCGCGGGTCGGGTCTTCCTTCATCCCGCCCTCACTTGGGAATATCGCTGAAGCGGCGGTAGATTTTGGCAGGGTAGCAACGGGAAAGACGCGTTTCTCAATGTCGGTTATATTTAACCTACCATTCTTAACCTCACCGTGTATCGCAGTTCCACCCCCCCCGTAATATCTCTTGGCGTTCGTCATGTATGGGGAGCTTATATTATATGTATGGGCGGATATAGAGTTTATTACACGGCGATCTAAATTGGGTACAGTACTGTACATACTTGGAGGAGGGGATGGCACTATTTATAGGCGTTTCCAAGGTTCTAGCCAGCAATTATCATCCAGATGAATAATGGGTTTTCCTAATTCCCATCCGCTCAGGGTACACTTATTGCGGCCTTTTTTTTATTTTTTATTTTTTTAAAAAAAGCTACAGTTTGCTTCTAAGCTTTCGGTTCTAGCTCTCGTCCACCTTCCTTCCTTCCCTTCGTGACCACGCTAACCCTTCATCTTGGACCTATACCCCTAGAACTCCATCACCAACCAAGCCTTAGTACCCCTATCGTACTCCCTAACACCGGGCTATTGCACGGTTGAGCTGGCTAATTGGTCTGCAGCGATTACGGTAGTCTTCGGCAGACGTTATTGCTTTATAAAGTTCCTAGCGTCGAGTGTGTTTGTCACTATGATAATAATACAGCTCTTTGGATACTATGGCATCCTTTACTGCTCCATATCTCCTAGCTTGCCTCTGGGCGCTTATGATATAATACCTACTTGTCATCTAAGCCCGCCGGGTAAATACTTCGAGGACAACGGGAACACACGGGGCGAACGCATTTCTCAGCTCACCGTAGCCAGCGATTTGATCAAGTTCTCGAGGCGCATACACTCGTCCCGGCCCCCGGTCTAGGTTCCCCTTTCTCCCTATCTTTAGGCGACCATTGCCATATCCCATTGGTGTGCAATCCTACTTAACCCACTATCCCTCCCATGCCCCTCTGCATAAGTATCCACTTGGCCACTACGGCTATCTCTGGTGTTTGGTCCACCTTTTGTCTTGCTGGCTTGCATGCTGGTTGCGCCATCTACTTTTGTGAGGGGGAAGGGAAAGAGGGTTAAGCCGGGCTGACCAAGGTCGGCGCTTGAAAACCGGTGTGGTTTCAGGATTTGGTCCACTGTGGTCACGATACTTCTGCTCTGGCGACTGCTGTGGTATTAAATTTTTTTTTTTTCAGGCGGGGGGGGGGGTGCTGATCATAGTGTTCGCAAGCGGCTAGTCCTGCCTGGAGCTTAGCAGGGGCGGGATGCTGGGAGCATCAGGCTGGAGTGCAGATGCCGGAGGCAGCTGCTTCTCAGGATCTCCTTGATTGATGGCTTGTGCACATTTGGCGGGTGGCAAGATAAAGTCTCCACTAGCATTCTTGACTGAGACTGTGGTCTTCTTGGCATCGGACAGAGCACTGGCAATTACTGCTACCCCCCCCTGTGTCATAGCAGTCCCGTAGGCTCGCCCCAAGTGAGGATTATGGATCCTCCCCGGTATTCTTCGAGCAGACATATGCAGGCATCCGAGTGATCGACCATGATCCTTTCTCATATTGGGTAGTTTTCGGGGTAGGTATATTTACTGATATGGATTTGGAAGGAACACGGGGGTGCACCGGAGCCCCCGCGCTTGCATAGTAGCATGACACGTTGGAGGGGGGGGGTGTTACAGTAGCATCGCATGCGTGAACGTTGGGCTTCACTATTGCGAGTATATGCCGGCACGGGTGCATGTGCGGGATAGGCGAGGCGTGCAACACCAGAATATGAGGGGCTCTTCGAGGGAGAGGAACTGGTTGTTGGGTTGATAGTTATGGCCGATCTGGATCTTGGGAGGAGGCGGCGGGAGCCGGGAGTGAGTTTTTCATGCGGCCGGGAGAGGAGGAAATTTTCTAGTCGGGTTGGGTCAAAAAGGGTTTAGAAGTAACAGAAAAAGATTTATGGGGGAGACCCAAGCTTCGTATACACTATGTAGTCCCTTTCCGTGCCACAGGGCATAGGAAGAGCAAACAGGATAAAAAGGACACTGCTTCTCAATGTACGGTACACGAAATAAAAATAATGACAGTGAGAACAAGGACAAAACAATACGAGTAATGATGGCCAAAAAAGAGCCCACCATTCCACCCTGCTCCCCGAGTTACACTCTCTACTTCTTGG